TGATGAGGGGATCTAAAGAGATCTAAAGATTGAGTAATCAGGAGGTACCACCCACACTTTGACTATAAGCACCCCAACGACGAAGCACGCTACATCACTGCAATTTTCTCGGTTTCTTTTCTCGGTGCCTTGGCCTCCCTCATGGGTTGCTTTTCGACTCAGGATGCTCCGACTACTTGGTTCTATCAGTTCTTGGACGCGTAGAAAACAGCATCAAAATGATGCATTAAGACGAAACCACCTTTGATGCTGCGTGTGGCATTTATTGGTGGCTTTCAGTCCGATTGCGATTCATGCCAAAGTGGGCGGCGAATTGGGGCAAACATGTACCAGGTATATACTCGGTGCTTAACAATGGCGTTAGCTTCAAGACGCATCCGTTTTCCAGGGGAGAAACGAAGAGAGACAGACATTTGTCTCATGAACTGCAGCGTTTGGGCTCCAGCCCCTTGGCCTACGTGGCGGACGAGGCCTGAGAGTGAAGTAGCTCGGGCATCAGGACCTTGTGTGAGCTCCAACCTAGAAGCGATGGCCTCCTACCGATGGCCTCCAGCCTAATAGTAATGGCCTCCAACCTAGAAGCGATGGCCTCCAACCTAATATATATCTATATATAATGAATTGTATTGAACTATGGATTCCCAAAAACACCTTGTTAAGCTCTTGGAAAAAGGCTCTCGTCATCGTGCATGGGTGGACTCAGTGACCAACTCCATCAAACACCTCCAAACAGATGCTTTCCCCTTCACACTGGGAAACTAACACAGTGAAACCAAAGAGAACACTAGGATATACTCACTGGGTTTCCTCGCTTGTCTTCTTTTCTGCTTCGATAGCTATTTCCGGCGCTTCGCTTTCCGCTTTCTTGCTTCACCCGAAGGCCAAGCCTGGCCGAGCCATGCGCTTTGCGCGGTTCGCGCGCTGCCGGAATGCCCATCTCTCGGCGTGGTCCCGGACGATGAACTGCGTGGAGCCCTGGATCAGAATGTGTCCTGCCAAGTTTGTTCAACGGCCAACCGTACAACCTCGAAGACTGTCAACCATGGGCACTTTGGACACCCAAATGAGCTCACAAACAAAGCACATCCCACTGATATGACTTGCATCAATTGTCTTCACACCAAGATTGCGAAGGTCCAAGGCTTCAAATGTTGACAAGAAACGACAATCAGAATAGTTTTAGGACCTTAGGATGTTCTAGGTCTTTTAGGTCCAAGGGGCCCACTCAGTGGCCCACTGAGTTGCTCACTGTGGCTCACTGCGTTCACTCTTCTCCGAGTCCAGCTCCACCGTGGCATCGCCACTGCGCCCCTTCTACGCCTCGCTTCAGAGATCAGGACAGGATCCGGAGAGAGGATGGTGGGTGGAATGTTGTTTTCAAAACAAGACACTCTACAGAATGTTCCTCACAGACCTCCAGGCCGCAGAATGGCTGGCCTGAGCAACGCTTCGGGTGGCTGAGATCAGTTAGTGACAGTTGTTCTTCATGGCTCTCGGCCGCCACGTTTCGAAGTAAACCAATTCGCAGTTTGGTCACATCGCTCACCGAGGTCCTGCTTGGGCTTTGCCATGCAAGGCGAGGCCTCGCTGGAGAATGGCTCAGCGGCCACAGACGTCAGACAGCTCAGAACTCTTTTCCTCATCGCTTGCGTCGGCGTTCATGAAGCCCATGAAGACTCTTCCGAGGCCGTGGCAGCCATTTTGGCTACCATCGTCGAGCTGGATGCCGCCCTTGGCAGCAGTTGGGTTACCTAGTGACCTAGTGATAGAGCTGAAACTGGTGAAGATGAGGGATGATGA